GGTCTCAATTGGTGAGCATATTCCATTAAAAGTCTTTTAGGGTTGTTATTGTTGTTGTATGGTCCTTCACCAACTAGATTTCTTACACCACCTGGATCAGCCATTAGTTTAAACTCTGATTATTGAATTAAAGAGGATTTGCCTTCTTATTGTTACTTTTCCTAATTTAGCTTTTTTGCTTCCTTTTGTTACTATTATTCCTCCTAGATGTTTTCTCTATTTCAGGATCTAAAAGAAAATGCTCAGCTGAAGTTTTACCTCGCATACAAAAAGAAACTAAATAGAAAAATTAGCATAGAAAACAACATATATTATATCTACACTAGAAATACATTCAACTTAATTACACATAAGCTTTAAGAAGGATGAACTGAAATTACTAAATATCTTGACACAAGTCTCCGAAAACGGCGCCAAGAGATTTGTTGAGGTTTTTATGGCAAGTGTACCAAGTCTGTTGTAATATAGAAATGTAAGTACGAGTTGTCAAACCTCAAAGACATAAAAGATATTTAGTAACTCCCAATACCCCATATAGATCTTGTAATAGAAAGATGTACAATGACTATAAAAATATTGTTGTTCAATTCAATATTGGGTTTATAAGAAGATAACAAGTAAAATAATTGTAAAATTAAAAGATAATAGAACAGAAAGCTGTTGGAATTAAGTTTCACCCATCTCACTCTTATATATGTTCTCCTAAGATAATTTATATATGATTTCTATCACTCAATGTTATTGAATTCTTTAAAGTCATTCCAAATCAATTTCTTGCATTAAGAAATTATAAGGATTCCAATTTAATAAATGTCTAATCTATTTATCGAATAAGAAATCTTACATTAAGTTCCTGAACTTGTTTAACTAATAACTCCAAATATATTCCTAGTTGAGAAGATGATCTAGGATCCCTTAAGCTTTATAATTTTAATTCTAACAAATGAAACATTTTTATAATAGAAAATGTCTTCAAAAAAATATCTTTGAAAATGCTCATCAAACGAAGTGTAAGACGTAAATTGTTTGTAAGATGATGTAAATAAGACAAAACATGTAGTTTGACTCATGTTCATTAAATGTTCATTATATATTAAGACTAACGACAAAGTTTATTTTGAATGCTTCATTTCTTACGAATCTATTAAATAGAACAAAATCATATTTTTTGTCAAGACCAAAGGCGAAGATCCATAAAATCACTAAGAAAAGTAGATAAAGTCACTACTACAGCTGCATTGCGCTAACATTGTTTCTACAAGCTCTATTTGGTATGAAAAGATAATAAGTAGCCTCCTTAATCAAATAAGAGATACCATTTGGTGATAATGCTCACATTAAATGAGTGAAATGGTTACTTTCCATCATAAGGAAAGACAATGAAGATAAATGAAACAAACTTGTGAGCTAGACTCAAAGTGTTGCGAAGGTCATATTCTCCAAGCTACTATATAAAAAGATTCAAAGCTTAAGAAAGAAAGGATGCACAATATACATAAAATACTTATACATAAAGACATACAAAGAAATACCATTTGTAAACCATACTTATTCTTTCTTGTAAAAGATGACTGCATTATACTAGTTGTATAATGTTTAAGTGAGACAAACACAACATTTTTGTAACATTTACAATCATTGTTATAAGGTTGAGCTTGAAGATGTTTGTATATAAAACAATACTTGTTTGAGATTGAATAGGGTTAGTTGAAAAGATTACTTTGTGGTTAAGCCTGAAAAGACTTGTTATTAAAAGAATACTTAGGTAGTTGCTTGAAGAGATATGTTAAAAAATACTTATGGTTAAGCTAGAAGTGACTTGTTAAAAGAATACTTGTATCTTTTTTTAAAGATAGTAGAAATCAATCTAGTTGGATTGAGAATTGGACGTAGTCTCAGTGGTTGAGACGAACTAGTATAAAAACATTCAATTTTTCATCTAACTACTCTTCGTACTCCATTTGACTAACATTACTACTTCACTACAAAAAAAATGTGAATTTTTGATACACACTATTCAACTCTCCTTTTAGTGTTTATCTTTTCTCTATACAGGTGATTTGATTCAAAACAAATTTAGAAAATGTATTATAATCAAAATCCAAATCAAAGATCAAAGGATGAGTGATTGAGTCACCTTAACATTAAGAACATAATCAAACCACTAACGCACTAAATAATAAAACATCGTGTATATATATATATATAGTTAATCATTCATACACTGTTAGTGTAAAGTTTTTTACACTGGTAACCAATCATATCTTTTAAATTAATTTATTTTATTTTTATTTCATTAAATAAGCAACTAACATGACATTATTAAAAGATATAATTGGTTACTAGTGTAAAAAAACTTTACACTAGCAGTGTATAGGTGATTAACTCATATATATATATATATATATATATATATATAAGTGATCAATTTATTTCAGCATTAAGAACAATCAAAATCACTGATACTAAATAACAGATCATTATATATATAAGTCAAAAGGAATACATAAGAGTTTGATGGATTACATTCAACCCTAATACGAAGAGAAAGATCAGCCACTCATAGTAATGAAAGCCATTTCATAATACATAAAGGAAGTGTAGAAGAAAGAAAAATTAATCCTAGAATCCTCATTCCTAGATGATCCTTGGAATTCTTCGTTGCTTTATTCTTTTCACTCTTTTCTCTGTGATGATCTCTTTGTTTTCTGTCCCTCTTTCCCTTTAATATATGATCCAACAAATAAAATAAAATATGAAGGAAAGAGAGTAAACTGCTTAGCCTTTTTCAAACGGCTAAACGATTTGGAGAACACTTCATGGTGAAGAAACTCCATCAATTGAGCCCTTTTGAAATCGTTGAGCACCTAAAGACTAATTTTCTACCCCTCTCTAGACCCAATATGCTTTGCCCTTCCAAATGATGGAGTGGATTTGGTTTTGCTCCAAGTCTTACTCTTTGCCTTTGATTCGTTCAACTCTTTCCAAATGACTAAGCAGATTGAGGTGTTTTGAAGTTTTGGAAGTTCATTGAACCTATAAAACAGAAAACAAAGCTTTATAAGTAAAATTTCTATCAACTCTTTATACATTAACTTAATTACACAACGTTTTGGTTTTTGTAATATTTTAGAAGTTAAATTACAAGTTTTTTTTTTTTAAATCTAGTTAGATAAGTGTCAAAATAATCATAATTTCTACGTAAAATAGACATTTATCATACTCTTTTTGGAGATGTCCAATCACTTTTTAGGATAAATAACTATTACCATAAACTAACACAAAACTTTTCAATGTCGTTGTTCTCACTTGTACTTTTTGAATTTCTTTTTCAAAAGGTCATCTATCTCTAAATTATTTTAAGTCAAACACGTTTAATTATAAAGTTCTTAAGTGACGAGTTATCAAAATTTCGATGTATATTGATAATATAAGTAATATTAATTAGTTTCTTTAAGTTATCCTTAATAGTGTAATCCCATGTTTATACAATCTTTAAATCACTCTCATTCATGTATGTTCATGATTTTACACCAACTTGTTTGGTAATAATGTAATTAAACCTTATGTATCTTTTTTGACTTATTAATTCATGTTTATGTTTCTATGTTAATCTTTTGATCACACTCTTAATACCTTTTTATGATTTGAGATGATATTGACTTGATCATTTATGAGATGATATTTGACTTGATTTAAGATTGAAATTGAGTCTTGAATTGAAGTTAAAGATCCATATAACTTTTTTATTAGGAAAAAGATTTTCTAGCCATCTTAATTAAGATCCGTATTCCTTATGCAAGTTTGTTAGTCAAGCACTCTAGAGAATAAAAACTATCTAAAGAACTTAGGATATTTGATACGCAAAATATTTTAAAAAAATAACATTTCTAGAAAATGATTTCTCATAAAAAAATTTTAATACAAATTTTTCATCAAATTATTTTTATATGAAATAAGTGAAAATCTAACTTTCTTGAATGAAGATAAATATTTTACTATAATACCTTGATTTGCTTAATTAATACAATAAAAATCTATGATCCCAGATAATATTTAAATATTTACAAAAATATTTGTAATCAACCAAAAAAAAAAAAATTTAGTCAATCATGATTCTCTAATATAAAAAAAATTTATTCTTCCAAATCTTTAAGTTCTTATAGCTAGAAATTGAGTTTAAGTAATCTAATATATAAATGTTAAGATTAAGAAAATAAGTATGGCGCAATGACACCAAATCCCAACATATTTCATCATAACTATCCAATTTATTTTTGGATATGTTTTTGGCAATTTTTTTTTGAAAATCATATATAAAATTTTAATATTTTTAGCCTTTGCGTTCCCTTCCTTCCAAATCAATATTTAATTTTATCACTATGCTAAATATTGAAGTAAATTATTAAAGAAAGAGCTATTAAATTCTCATGACTATTTATTTTATTTGGTTGGCTTGTCAAACTTAAAAAGAACGTAACACTCGAATTTCATTTACTTTGATAGAAAAAGTTTGAGAGAAGATTCTTTCGGGCATTTCAAAGTCATGAAATGTATTGTCTATCCCATTAACATACCGAAGGGGAAATTGCCATGACACCATTAACGATGATTTACTCTAAAATCATGAAATGTATTGTCTATCATATAATGTGGAGTTGGTAACCAATATATATATATATAGTAGTTTCTAATATGAAGTCTTTTTTTAAGAGTGACAATTTCAAAATTTAGATTCACACTGACATACGAGTTTTATTTTATATTCGTACATAGGCCTAGGGTCGTGCAAAATTCTTCAATTTTACCATGGCCCGGTAACAGCGGTTGTCAAACATTAGCTAACATACACACAAAAATAAGGTTGAAAGGATGCTATAAAGTCTGTATTCGATTTTTGATCCGTAGCCCACATGCACATCCCTTTCCTCCATCTTTCCTACCTTACACGTGTGGATATATGAGAGAAAATACTTTGAGTTTGGACTTTCTGAGAATAGAATTTGGTTTTACTTTGATATTAGGTTAAGTTTATGGAAGGGGAGTCACGAAAGAAATCACTTTACATACACGAGATGAGATGATCATGACACAGCGTGGAAGTGTACACGAAAGAGACCCACATACATACATACATAAAACATAAATCAAACCCAGTTAAAAATACTCATCAATACGCTGATCAAGCATGCACCGTCCTTGCCAACTCAATACGCCTCCTGATCCCCCTATTGGCAAAATCACAACCATAATTTGCATTAGAATTTGATATACCAAAACCCATCTACTTAATTCATTTCAATCAATGAAATTGATTGAAAACCCGTCTCTACTTGTAATGATAGTATCCGATCTTTGTTTCGATCCAAGTCAATTTAGATACAAGGGTGTTTATAAGAGCTGCTTTATATATATATATATAAAAAAAAACTCTTTATTTTTAAAAAATCACAATAAAAAAAAACACTTTTAGGTTATATTAAAAGATAATAAAAAAATACTCTCTATTTTTAGAAATTCACAAAATCACCTTTTAACATGTATGAAAAGATAAATTTATTTTGTAAGATTAAGTTTGATGATGCATACCAAGAAAATGATATAAAAAGAAGTTAACTAAAACTCACTTTCTTGGGTGTCACGAACTCGACGAACTTCTTCTTAGCCTTGCCCTCGTTGGGAGATTTTTTGCTTTGTTGCTGGTGGTTGACCTGGTGGTGGTGGTGGTGCTCCCTCTCCGTTATGTATTTCCTTATGTGCTCTCTCACGAACCTTTCATATAAATACGCTGCACCTTCGAACTGTGGCAACACCAACCATGCCACCGTTAATAGCTTCACATCGTACCAAATTGGTATCCTGCGAATTTCAATTTTATATGTATTCAATTTTTCCTACTATATTAGTCAACAATTACAAGTTACAAATATAAATTCCGCATTAATTATTAATTAGTGGATTTCATTTCATAGACAAAGTTTAATTGAGAGGTTTAATATACATGTCAATGGTTCATTCATAGAAATTTAGTTTAAACTCACCATTGTAAGATGGGTTGAAGAACCAATTCCGCAAGGGTGAGGAACGAATAGATGATCCAATAAGCTAACCATTGCTCGTCGTCCAACTTGGATTGGCTCTCTATTGCCACCACCGATGCATACCTATAAATTAAATAGCAATAATTATATATCATAGAACGTCTTTGTCTAACTAAGGTACATGAACAGAAGCAAAATTACGGTTACAATGTGTTTTAAGTCCTTGTATATATATATTTTATTAAAATTAATCCTAATGTATTTAAAACATATTTTATCTAAAATTTATTAATAAAGTGTCGGGTTGAAAGTTGTGAAAAGGAATCGATACTTACAAAGGGTACAACAACATCAAAACCGGCCTGGAAATAAGATAACATAAAAGAGATATGAATTAGTATATAAATATATAGTTTGATATATACAATTACATAGGGGAATGAATCATAGGAATCAATACGGAAAGAAATATATATACCCGGCAATAGTATGAAGCTGGATGATCAAGGTCCACAACTTGCCCATGGCCATATATGTGTCTGTATTATTTGTATACTTTTTGTACGTGTAATTACTGAATCTATCTTCTATTAACACTGCAATAAGCGCAGAACTAAGAAGAAAGAAAACCGTGTGAAAGCATAGATGAAGAAAAAGATGAAAGAGTAAAGTAATGTTTACAACAACGAATTATGAGGTGAAAAGAAAATGAACCAGTCGTGAAGTGAAACAACGTTTGAGAGCTACGAGAGAGAAGCACGTTAGAGTGAGGTTTATAAAATGTTTGTGAAGTGTGAAGAGGGGGACAGGGGTGCCACGTGTGAAGAGAGGGGGCAAGTATCGGGTTCTGCCTTAAACGTGTCATGCTTAACCTAGCACCGGCCAGATGAGATGAGAGAAAATCTCATCCAATAATGAATGTTATTTTGTTTCTTTAATCATATATATTAATAATTACCTAAATTTTTACCAAGGTTCCTTCCTTGCCCAAAGCACGAGCCACGTGTACACACTTTTTAACGCGAGCAGGTCGGTGACACGTGTCGGTTGTATGTGTCTCCTGAATCTTGATGTGATAGTTGATTAATTAACTGTGGGGTGATGTCGTGGATGACGGTGGAGAAACCACGGGTAAAGAACTTTCATAAATCATATAATGTAGTGGCACTTGCTTTGAATTTCTTTTTGATCAGTACTTGCCATGTGTTTGGTGTTGATTTACACATAAAAGCTGAAAAATACTCGACTGAGTCTGACTGACAGAGGGCAAAGGCAAAGTGAAAATTGTTCCAGGTTATGTACCCCAACTCTGCATTTACCATTGTCAAGAATCATTGAACTAACCCATTCCAAGAAGAAGAAATGAAATATTTATTTACAGGCTCTGATCAAAAGTCCAGTTTATTTGATCCATCATGAAAGCCCATACATGTTACCCATATATGGGCCCAAATAAAAAATTACATGTCGCTCTTGGCCCAACTCTTAGTTCTTTTTAAAGGGTAAAGATATTGGAAATTTGTTGTAACAAAGAAGGGGAAATAGGTAAATCATTAACATAAACATAAAAGGGCACCAATACTCTCACTTTTTTTAATAAATTCTCCCCAACATTTAGTGTTTTTTTCTTCTTCTTCAAAATAACTTTTTTTACACAAATGTATGTTTGTTGTGTAAAACACAAAATAGAAGCATGTTTCGGTTTTACAAGAGGTGAGGATACAACACACAACAAAAATAAGTTTCTGTTATGTATTTGGTTTGGATACAACATAAATTTATTCTTATTTTGTATCCAAAAATACATAAGGTGATTATATATATATATATATATATGGTAATTTCTTGTCATTTGCCTAGAAAAACAATATAAATTTTATGTCTAGCAGATTTGTCATAATTGAGCTAGGTGTTCCATACTCTGATCCTTTGGCAGATGGTCCTGTTATCCAGGTTTGGTGCTTTCTTCTTTTTCGATATTATTATGAAATATCTACGCTAAAAGTATTTATTAGAGATTGTGAACACACATAAAGTAGATATTCTTCTTTTAATATAAGCTATTTCATATATTATTATTTCGATAATTGGTAATGGAATTTCTTTGTCCAATTTATGAGTATTTTTTTTATTGATTTTTTTTTATAGATATCACAAGAGAAAATGAGAAATGTAATACATGTAGATTATTAAATTAAAACGAGTACAAAAACTATTATATATAGGAAAACAGTGAGGATTAGAAACTCCACAAAAACATCTCTATTAACGACTTTTATAGTTAATTTACTTAAAAATCTCTACTAAATAACCTCTTAGCATGTTTTAAAGTCTCCGGTAAAAAAGAAATCTTTGCAATTAGTGCAACTTTAAAACATCCTTTAAAAAACCTCTATTGTTAGTGTATGTTTAAAACCTCCCCAACAAAATTGTCGTAAAATACTCACAATACAAGAGATTTTTTAAAAATGTCACTAATTGCATGCGACGAATGTAATTGCACAGATTTTTAAAACCTTTGCATTTTTTTTTTGTAGAGGATAAAAATCTCTACTAAACATAGAAACAACCTTCGTTATTTAGCACATTTATGTTAGTGAATTTATTTAAGGGACACAAGTGACTACCACTTGTATCAACCAATATTGTTAGTATATATTATCTTCGTTTTTATATATAAAACCCAATTACCAAATTTAACAAGATTTTCCCTATTCACACACACATATATATATATATATATATATATATATATATTTTTTTTTTTTTTCTAAAACTACCCATATATCATTTTTTGCACTTCTTTTTTCTAATTAATATTCATATATTTTCTAATCAATACTCTATACTATTTATCTCTCTTAATTAATACACACCTTTCTTTTAATCGATTAGAGTACATGCTCTTTAAAAAATTTATAATTAATTCATTTTATTAAATTAAAAGAACACATTTAATTTGTAACGCCCGATTTATATAATAGTAATTATATATTTTTTATATAATATTTTTGCAATTATATCATTAACAATATTTTTTTTAATGGAGATAAAGATAAAGAAAAAGAATATTTTGTGAATTTATTACATAACATATCATTCTAAAATATTTACAATAATGTATTATTTTACACATTATTTCTTTCTTCTACTTCTATTACAATATTTACATTGATAGTGGAAAGAAAATTACAATTGAAATAATATGATTGACAAATAAAATTACAACAGACCCATCAAATAACCTCCATATTCCAATTTCTTCCAAGTAGGACAACAGTAATAACAACTGCAAAATGATCTGGAAACCCAAGGAGAACCATTTTATTTATAATAAAATTAATTTTAAAAAAATAAAAAAAGAGAGGAGTGAGAACAATATCCAATAAATACAATAATTCAAAAGAATATACAGCATTATTTATAATCAATATTAAACATATATACAGATCGTATATTAGATTTTCATGATACAATAAAATTTGAATTATATTTGTAGTGACTAGTCAGGATAAATGAGCATCATCATAATATCAACCATCAAAATGATATTTCACCTTAACTCCTTACTCATAAGGATATTTCACCATAAGTTCTTACTCATTTAAATCCCCAAGGTCAAACCTCCAGCTACAAATAATTCAAACTTTATCTTTTATGGCCATAGAACAATATTTATCTTCATAAATACATGAAGAAATGACAATAAGACAAGTCTAAGTTTTCACAACTATATTATAGTTGATTATATAAAATATATTTACAATAAATATATTTACGTAAAAAGAATATATTAAAAGTACCAATGATATAAATAAAAATGACAATCATTATAAAATAATTAAAAAATATAAAATATGAACACCTTAATAATTATTATGGATAAAAATAATCATAGGATAAGAAAATAAATGAGGTTAGAGACACCTCATTAAATAAATATACATAAAAAATAACATAAATAAATAAACATAGTAGTATATAAAATTTTAAAGAGGTAAAGTTCTCCTCCCTCTTTCTTTCTCTCTCTCTTTCTCTCTCTTTTCTCTTCCTTCTCACTATTTTTTTTTTCTCCGTAAACTTGTGTTCACATTTTCACTCCATGTTCAAGCCTATTTATAGTATTAATTTTAATGATTACATAGTTAATTTTTAATGGAAAGTTTGTGTATTTTAGTTTGATTTCAAAGTCTCTTTACAATTTAGTTACCTGGAGATAAAGTTTATTAATTAAGGGATAAGAGGATAAGGTGGGCACCATATTTTTTTCGGAGAGCAGATTTTTCTGCACAAATTTCGTTTTATTTATTTTAATAATAAAATAATAATTTTTTCAAATAATAAAATAATAATTTTTTTAAAAAATATTTTTTTAATATATATATATATATACCCTTTTTATTAATTAATAACTATAGGAAAATAATTTTCATAAATATAAAAAATAATAATTAACCATTGTATAAAATTTGGGATGTTACATCCTCATTGTTCCTCATAAGGTTTCCCACAAGAACTCACAGAGCACTCTAGTTCATATCAAAACTTATCTATTTTCAAAATTAAATACATATTCATGAATAACATCCAACAAGGAACACATAAGAAGCATCATACATCCAAACCGAAAACTTTCATATTTTGTTTGTTCCTAGAAGCATACATCAAACAAGGAATTGGGGGGCCAATTCTACTATCAAACAATAAATAATATATATATATATATATATATATATATATAATATTTTGTCACTTAATTTCATTTGAGTAATTAAAAATTAAAAATTAAAAACCACTAAAACTATAAACAAACAAATTGAAAAGGTTTAATTACACTTTTGATTTTCTTATAATTATCAATCTCTAATTTTGATTATTAATTTTTTAATTATACAATTTTTTTTTTCATTTTTTAAAATTAAGAAATTCAGTTCTCTTTACTAATTAAAACATGCAATGACATTAATATTGATATAAATTAATGATATGTCACTTTGATGGTAACATGATAATTGTGAAACCCTTTCCTTTTCTTTTCTTCCCCAAACTCTACCTTATTCACTCACTTTGGCTGATTCACCTTCTTCTTCTTAACTCACTCTCACTCTCTCATTTTCCTTGTTGCTGATTAATCTTCCTTGTGGTGGCCTTGGTTTTGAAGGTGCTGATCAAGCTTAGGGCAGAGCTAGCTGAAGTTGTCTCTCTTCTCCGTTCGTTTTCAAACTCCTTCTTCTTCCCTTCGTCCTCCTTTTCCCGGAAGCTCGGATTCTTTCCCGAAGTAAGGGAAGCTAGTTTTCTTGTTGTGTTTTGGATGAAAATGGGTCTAAGAACTCATTTGGTTGTTTAAGATTGCTGATTCTTTACTGATCAGGTGGAAATTTGAGTTTTTGGGGTCTTTGGGGTTTTGAGAAAAATTTGGGGTTTTTCTTGTTTTGTTGTTGCATGTGTAAAAAGGTGGTGTTTTTGGACTCTTGGATGAAAATGTGGTACTTTGAACCGTTTGCATGCTGAATTTCTGGTTATTTTGCAGGGTTGGGTGAAATTTTCGAACTTGCTGGTGTTGCTGCTGAGCTTCGCGCTGAGCGCAGTTCTTCGCGCCGGGCGCGTGGCTACTAGGGGACTCCCTTTAGGCAAGCCCGCCGGGCGCAATGATGGGTGTGCCAGGCGCGCTTGGGAATGTGGGTCTCTGGCTAGTCCGCGCTGGGCGTGACTTGGACCGCGCTGGGCGCGATATCAGTTGTACCCTGATTTGGGCTTTTTGTTTCTGTGCTGAGCGCAACCCTTGTCGCGTTGGGCGTGAGACTCCTTGGGAGTCTCTGCCTTGAGGGCGCTGGGCGCAATTTGAATTGCGCTGGGCACAAGACCAAGGGAGGTCTCTGCCTTCCCCACGCAGGGCGC